CCCTTGCTAAGTGCTGTACATCGTATTAATCTGATTTAATCCTCAAGACTGTTTTCGCCCTGATTACAGATGAGGAAACTGAGACCCAGACATCCCCACTGATACAGTCAGTGGAGGTGGCACTGAAGCCCCGGTCTGTCTGGGTCTGTCTGTCTGTCTCCAGAGCATGTGGCTAAACCCCGGCAGGATGCTGTGGAAGGGAGAGTCACCGCCCAGGTGGTCACGTTCACATGCAAGACTCTGGTGACAGGAGCTCCTTTCCTCCCTCCTGCACCAGCTCTGACCATCACGTCTTCCTTATACCAAGTACAAGTTTGCTGGAATCCTCACATGCCAATCTATGCTGACGTGTTCTTTGAGCATCCTTCTCTGGGTGAGGCCAGAGAGGCCAGAAGTGGTTCCTGCTCTCAGTCTGATGGGTGAGGCAGCCTTGACCCTTAAACCACAAGGATCCAGAGGAAGGAAAGAAATCTACCCTCTGACCTGCCCAGGGCCCCAGGGGGAGCTGTGCACCACCTCTGCCCCATCAGCACTCACCCACAAAGTGGGGTTAATGAACTGCTCCCACCTCCCAGGCAGGACACAAGTGAAAGGAAAAGTGTCCCAAGCACTTTTACTGCACCTGGCCACGCCCTCGGGAATTCCTCCTGCCTTCCCACCCCACACAAGGCTAGGGGCCTGGATCTGTGCTGGGGGAGGCCCTGCAGGCCTCTCATCAACCAGAGGTGATCCTCAGAGAACAAGGTACAGGGGTCCATATAGCAAAGATGCCAAAGTCCAGGAGGGAGGGGAGGCCTGGGGGCTGGGGCAGCCCCTGTTTGGATCCTCCCAGGGTAGAGTGAGGGAGGCAATGGTTCTGCCTGTGAAGGGGCAGCTCTGGATTTTGGCTCAACCCGAGGTCTGCCTGACATGTCACCTCACACATACAAGGCTTGGCCAGCAGGGGAGGGGACACACCATGATGTGGTTCCACGCAGGTCTCTCACTAAACACTGAGTCACAGAGGCTGGATGAGCCCCACCTGGGAATCCCAACCTTTGCTCCCCAGTGTTTCAGCCCAAAGGCGAGCCAGGGCAAAGGGAGGCTCCTCAAGGGCCAGCTGTGTTATGCAAGTCCTCCCACTGGCTGTGCTGGTCCCCAGCACCAACGATGCAATTAGCATAAATCTGCATGTGTTAGGAGCTACAGGTAGCAGACAGAACCTTACTTCCGACCTGCATGCCCCAGAATGCCATCCCTCCTCAGTTCATTTTTTAACATTACCTGGTTTCTTCCCAAGGAACCAGAAAAGCACAGAACTGAGGCCACAAATTCTAGGACCACAGCCTCGAAACTGGAGCAAATGAACCAGAACCACGAACTGTAGCCCATCAAATCTCAGAAGCCGGGGACTCAACTAATGTCCATGGGATCCTGGAGCATAAGGACATGGCGGTAGGCCACAGAACCCCAGGCTCTAGTCTGTACCCACTGTACTCTAGAGCTACAGGACCCAGAAATGCAACCCACTGAATCAGAATCTGCGGCCCACAGAACCTTAAAACACCACAGCATGTTACATATGAAATCCTGGAGCCATGTGGAGCAGAACCGTCGCCCACGATTTTCAAGAGCCAAGGGAGGGAAGCCAAGGGTTCTAAGCACATCCAAACATCCCGTTTTACAGATGGGGACAATGAGGCCCCGAAAGGGGTGGGGTGACGCCAGGGCCCCGCAGAGGCTGGCTGGTGGGGATGCCCCGGAGGGGGAAACCCTTCGGTGGGACCCCCCCCCGACTCCCAGGGACCCACGGCGCGCAAGCGCACTCACCGGCCGTGTCGTAGAGGTTCAGGGTCACCTCCTTGCTGCCCACAGTCACGCTGGCAGTGTACTTCTCGAACACGGACGGGGCATAGTGCTGTCGGAGAAAGGGTCGGGCTAGTCTGCCAGGGGGCGGTGGGGCCCCGGTCCGGGAGCACCCCTACTACCCTCACCCCACTAGGCTCTGGAATTCCCGAGGGCGCCCCGGGGTGGGTGGAGACCACCTCTCCGCGCTCAGGACACCGGGGACCCTGTAGTTCCGGCTCCGGGAGCGGGCAGGGACTGAGGGACGCCCCTCGCCCCCAGTAGGCCTAAGTGGCCCCCAGCCCACCTCCCTCCAGCCCACCGCGGGCCTCACCTCGGGGAAGGAGCCCTGGCTGTACACCATGAGCAATGAGGTCTTGCCGCAGCCGCCGTCGCCCACGATCACGATCTTCAGCTCCTTCCTGCCCGGGGCGGCGGTGGCGTCCTGGGCCCCGGGGGCGTCCATAGCCCGGCACTGACAGCACTGACCGTGCTCGGTCCTAGCGCTGGGTCTGCCCAGGAGGGACTGGGGGCGGGGCCTGGCCTGAGGGCGGGGCTTTCCGAGCCCCGCCCCCCGCAGCCGGCACCGCCTCCGCCAGGCAGCCACCTGGGCCCACCTCCCAGACTCAGTTTCCTTCCTTCTAGGGTCCCGGCCCGGAGCGTTCAGCTCTCAGCCCCAGGGAAACTGAGGCAACCGAACAAGGAGGAGCTCTGTCGCCGCAAGCGCAGGTCCCACGCCCTCCCCGAAGCGTCACGGCGCGCCCCTCGCCGGTAAGACCCGACCGTTTCCGCGGATGCACGCCGGACGCCCCTGATTGGTTGACTGCCTCCGGCAGGGACTCTCTGATTGGCCGGCTGGGCCGCCCCACTGGACAGGGACTTGGTTGGTGAGCTGTGCCTCCATCTGCGGGGTCCAAAGAGTCTGGGTCTGGAACCCTGGGAAAAGCCTCTTCCCGCCTCCCCCTCGACCCCGGCTTTCCTCCGCCCAGCAATGTGGCCTGGGGCGAGCCAGCCTCTGGCCTCAGTTTCCCCCAGGTGGCAGTGGTGGTGTTAGGGAAGATGCTGGCACGGGGTTCTTGTCTGTTCACCTGGTCTGGCCCTCGCGGCGCCTGTGTGTGTGCCAGGTTGGGGGTGGAGAATAGTGACTAGGGGTTCCACTTACCTGCCCCCGCCTACACTCCCTGGGGCTGCAGAGTGGATGTCTGGCGCCCTCTGCTGGGAGCTCGCCATGGCGCGGGGCCGCGCAGGGAGCAGGTGAGCGGCCGCGAACACGCCGTTTCCGGGGTTGGCCCCAAAGCACGCAGGCTGGCGCCTCTTCCCGCAGGGGTCAGATGCGTGAACTGAACCGACACCGTTGGGGACTAGGGGTGGCCGGATAGATCTTGTTGAGGTCAACTGCGCCCCGCCTCCGTGCACTTTGGAGAGACTGATAACCCACAGCTCCACTAAGAAATGTAAAGTTTTCTCCACCAGCAGCCACGTGGCTTTCACCCCAGGGATTCTCCCTAGTCCTCCCGCCCCTGATGAAAACAATAGCATTTATTGAGTGCTTACTACGTGCACGTACTACCATCCCTTCCCTCCCTTCCATCTGGGATTACTGTCCCCTCCACAAGCCAGGTCAGTGGTCAGGGCTAGTGAGGGCCCCTGGAGCCGGCCCGAGGCAGACAGGTACTGGGTATAGCTAAGAGTCTGGTCCTACCAGCTGAAAGCCCATTTCTAACAAAAACCTGCGAACAGCACGGTTGGGATAAATGACCTGTTTCCTCAGAGGGGAACGGCTGGCAGGATTCAGGATCTTCTTGCCCCCACCTAGCCCCATCCCACCCTGAACACTCCCAATTTTCAAATTCTCGGCAAAGATCGGGTTAACTTCACTTCGTGGAGGAAACTGCCACCCTGGCAGTGCCATAAATGCCGGGTCAAGGTTTTCAGCAGGTGCAAGGCAGGGCCTGACCACCAGAGGGCAGCCGCGACCATCGGTGGAAGCCTAAGAATACAACAGCCTTAGCTGGGAAGGGGAAGAGAGCCAGGCCCAGGCTGTTAGATGGACGCCCTCTCCAGTCCTCTGGGCTCACCTGGCCAGAGGGGAACCTGGTGGGTCAAACACCCCTTTGACGAATGCACAGCAACTCATCTGTTCCTTTTCTGCAACACATTTTTATTGAGAGGCAATGGCGTTCCTGCCCACGAGGAGCTCACAGTCTTGGGGGAAGCAGTCCAACAGAGTTTAAGAGATGTGAACATTTAGAGAGCAGAACCCACGTGGGGATCAGGGGAGGTTGAGAGATGGGTGGCACAGGAACTAAGCTGGGCAGTGCTGGGGAGGGCAGGCAGGTGAACAGAATGGGCACATGGCCTGGGCCAATGCATGGAGTCTGAAAACCCCATCAGGTAAGTTCCATACGGGCTGGGGAGTGAGGAGGGAGGCCAGGAATGGTTGCGAAGGTAACTGGGGTTAGCTTCATGGAGGGGCTCCTCTGCCAGGCTCACTGACCCTCAAGCAGGGAGGAGCTCGGCAGGGCCAGGCCCTCTAAGCTCTCCCCAGTAGCCAAGGAGCTGTGACTGGCTGGGGCCAGGCCAGTGAGGCAGGGATGGGGCTGGGCCATCCTTCCACAGCGGCAGCCTGAGGCTGGCAGGAGAGGAGGGATCCAAATCCAGAGACATGTAAGAAGTAAGGTCCCCGGCACTTGGTGACTGACCACAAGGCTTTGAGAGGCGGCCCTGGAGGCCAAGCCAGGGTGGAGTGACAGTCACTCGGAGAGAGCAGGTGGAGAGCTTGCAGTGAGCCGACAACCACTTACCTCCCCTCTGGCTGCCTCAAGCTTGACCCTCCAAAAGGCTGAGGAGCCTCCCTGGGGACCCTGAAGCTCGGGGTGGGGTGGGGTGGGGGAACCTGGAAGACAAAGGGTCACCTCACTTTAAGCAAACTGTCACCTGAAAGCAGGCTAATCACACTAGCCCATGAGAGGGCCTCTGATTTCCTCAAAACCCTCAGACCTCGGCCTCCACTTTCCCCACCTGTGAAATGGGGCTATGATCCCTACTGATGACAGAACAAAGACTTGTGAAAACTGAGGAGGCGAAATGAGAAACAGAGAGTCTTCCCAGTGCTGCACGGGCCCAGGCAACACAGCTGACGCCGGCCCCTGCCCGGTCAGGAGGCTGGCAGAAAACCAGCCTCAGCCCCCTGGAGCGAGTTTGATTTGGACGCAGCTCTGATGCCGGGTGGTAGTGGCACTGGATCTACAGCTAAAAATACCCAGGAGCCAGGCCAGCTGCTGAGAGCTTCCTCGGCAGAGGCTGGGCCAGCCAGGCCAGCTGGGAGCTGTGCTTCCCGCCTGGGGCCCTGCTCCTTTACCTGTGAGGCATCCCAAAGGCCTGTGGCATGATCCCTCTGGGCACCAGGAATTCCTGGAGAGGTTTAGGAGGGCAAGGAAGATTTTTTAACCTGGTTTCTGCCACAAGAGTTGTTAGGACACAGAACTCAAGAGGGCTGCCCAGGGGATGACTGTGACGTGAACTCACTGTGTTCACTCAGAGGCCCACAGGACTGGGAGCAGCCTACATCGTGGTGAGGCCAGCAGGGAGACACAAGAGGGGCCAGTGCACTCCTACCTACTCAGAGCAAGGTCCAGCCAGGCTGCAATGGGGACAGCAATAACAACACTTTTGTCTTCCACTCCCTGGGTGCCTCAGAAGACCCTAAGAGGTCACCATGTCACCCACCGCACGATAGGCCTGAGCACATGAAGAAACTCTCAGGCCCCATGGCTGGGAAATGGCTCCCAGCTGTCTGGCTACCCCACCTGTGGGCACTGCAGGCCTCAGCCACCCTTGGGGGACAGGCCATGCTGGGGTCCAAAACCACTCCCCTCACAAAGCCAGACTTGGAGAGACGACTCAAAAGGCTGCCGTCTACCATCTCCTCCTCCACCTCGTCCACAGGGGACTGTGCTCAGAGGAAGGCAGGAACTGCCCCCTGGCTACCAGCCAATCAGAGACAGCACTGAACCCAGGTGGCCCTGAGATGGCAGTGGATGCCTCTCCAGGGTTGGAGGAGAGACTGTTGTCTCCACCCAGAGGGTCCAAAGGACCACATTCCACGCTGGGGCTCAGTGGCCCTGGTGGCTGGGCCGGAAGGGGCGGGGAGCCTGGCGGCTCAGTAGTAAGGCAGGTCCAGCCACCTCCCACCACCTTCCGCTGGCGTGACCCTCTCTGAGGCCAGCCCCACCGGGCTCAGGGCCAGGAGCAGTCCTGTCCCTCTTAGGGCCAGGAGGAACAACAGCCAGCCGGCAAGACAGAGGAACAGCCCACTCTGCCCTCCCTAAGAGGAGATCCAAGGGAGAAACAGGGATGAGAAAGTGGAGAGGGGGTAGGATCCTTCCAGCTGGTCTTGGCTTCCCAAAACTCACACCTCAACCTCAGTTTAGCACCTAATTGCTCCCTAATTGGTTACAGGGCTGGAGCAGAGGAACCGGCTGGAGCCCTCAGGGCGGCAGCTGGGAGGAGAAGATTGAAATCAATCCTTTAACCAAGAGAAGTGGGCAGCCAAGCCGGGGCCCCAGGACTCCATCGGGAGGGAGGTCGACACCCTCAGGAGTCCAGGCGGCACAACAGCAGGACTGAATGTGCAAGTCGCTTGGGGAGCGGGGAAGGGGAGAAGAGGCTAACTCCCTCATGAAGAGTGATTTGAAGAGTGATTCCCCCTCGCCCCTAACTCTGGGTAGGGGGAAGGGAGTCAGGTATAGGTGAAGTGGGATGCACTCCCCAAGAAGAGGACAAGGCCTGGGACCCTCAGCTCAGGAGGCACACAGGGCACCCGCTGGCTGCTCCACCAAACAGCTTAGCGAGACTCCGGGCAGGGATGCCAGGAGACAGCTGGCACGGGAAGGAGCCCAAAATAGCCCAGACAGCTGGAGTGGGGGGTGCTAGGGCCAAGGCGCTGGGCTCTAAGTCAGGACACCTGGAACCCCATCCTTGCGACCTTTGGTGAGTCACTTCTACTCTGGGCAGTGGGTGGGCGACCCCAAATCATGACCCCATCACGGTGCAGCCCGTGGAGACCCAGGTCAAAACTTACAGGAAGAGCAGTGCTGGCTCTCTGCACCAGGAAAGCCAGTTGTCCCCTTTGCCCTCAGGCCCCGCCACGTGCTCCCTGAGGACGGGAGGAGCTGGCCGCCGGCCCAGCCCTGCTCCCTGCAGCCACTCCCAGCAATAATCACGACAATAATGGAGACCAACTCGTGTGCTGCCTGGATGAGAAGCTGAGAGGCGGCTCTCCCGTATACCCTGAAAAGCATGCATCGCTATCATTCCACATAGCTGAGATTGGAGCCCACAGCTGGGGACTTAGAGCCTTCCTTAGTCAAGCACCAAGCCCCAGCAGCTCCCGCAAACCTCAGCCTTGCCCTCGTCCTGGGGAGGGCGGGTTAGGGCACAGAGGGGGCAGGGACAACAGTGGGATCAGCGGCACCTGGACCCAAATGGCTCATCAAAGTGATCGCAAAGCCAAGTTCACACTGGGGGCGGGGGGAGGGGGGCGGCAGCGGAGGAACACAGCTAGAAGTCAAGGGCCTCAGCATCTCCAGCTGTGCCGCTCCCTGGAGACAAAGAGAATGGGAAACTGAGTGGCCAGCTTGTGTTAGGAAAATGAGAAGGAGAGCTGCCCTTACTATGGAGCCAATCACCACGCAAGCACTGAATTCAGGCCTCCAAATGCTCCGGCTTACCTCCACCTCACGCCCACCCCAGGTATTAACTTGGCAGAGGTTCTCCAGATGTGTCTCCAGACCCACAGCATCACCGTCACCTGGCAACTTGTTAGAAAGGCAAGCTCTCAGGCCCCACCTTAGAGTACCAGAAACTCCAGGATGGGGCCGTCAGGTTTTAAAGAGACCCCCATGGGATTCTGGTGCTCACTCAGGTTTGAGAATCTCTGCTCCCATTTTTGCAAGTGGAGAAAGTGGGGCTTGGAGACTATGTGGCTTGTACCGAGGTCTCAGCTGGCAAATGGCTAGCCAAGTTTCAAAGCCACGTTTCAAACCCAGGTTTGTCTGATTCTAGAAAGAGGGCTATGAACACCTGCTCCATCTGGTGATGGGGAGGGAATTGTGGGAATTAACAGGAGTGGGGACAAGGAGTCAGAGAAACCTTCCCCAAGGACAGCTGGTCCAGCTCTCAGAGGGGCCCCTTCTGCTGGCACTGTCACCCCACACACCCCCATGCCGGCTGGAGGGGCGGGCCAGGGCACTGCCTAGCTTCCAGCAGCAGGAACACCACCACAAAACGCACTACTGAGAAAGACTCGCGAGATGCAGCCTCTACTGTGCTGCTAAATCCGGCAGAGAATTGCACGCCTCACACTGCTGACAACAGAAGCTGACAGACGGGATGGATGGGCTCAGCCGCCCAGCTCACACACGGTCACACACATTTGTGTGGGGGAGGGGCTGCAGAACCAGCCCGGCGGGTTTGGGGTTCCCGCCCTCCGCGGGCTCCAGGCCAAAACCCCCCAATCTTCCTCAAAGTCTGAAAAAGGGGTCCCACATACCTCGGTGGGAGGACTGTCAGAGCCAACCTAGGCCTGCTCCCGCTGTCCAAACAAGGAGGGAGTGTCCGTACTGGGGCACCGGGTACGCTGTCCCTTCTCCAGCCAAGTGCCTGGGAGGAGGGGGAAAGCGGAGGGCTGGTTAGGGCACCCCCGGCTTGTGGGTCTGAGCCCTCACTGGCCTAACGCGAGTCGAACTGGGTCTCCTGGACCAAAGGCAATCTTACAAATACCGCCCCCACCCCCCTGCCGTCCAGCTGCCAAAACGGCCCTCACTCTGAAATGGATGGGAGGGGAGGTGGCTGAGTCACCAAGGTTCAGCCTGGGCGACAAGCAGCAGGAGGCGACTCATCTGCACTTCCAAAAGCCCGCCCCGTCCGCATCCCCTCCCCCAGGAAAAGCCACAGATCTGAGGGTTTACCCCAGAGTCCTCTGCCCTGGGGATCCCAGCTCAGCTTTTCCACCCCCACCTCCAGCGTAGGGGGCCGGCTTGGAGAGGTGTGCCTGGGGTGGCCAAATCGGGGTGTCCGAGGCCCCAAGTAGGGACAAAGGGATCGACCCGCCCCGCCGGCTTGGCTACCAAAGGGCGATTGGGAGCCCGAGCAAAGGCGCCGAGGCCCGGTGGGCAGCGAGGGGCGGCCTGGGGTCAAGCCGGGCCGCGGAGAGTCACGCTGTTCAGGGGGCGGCCGCGAGGCTCCAAGCAACCCCCTGGCCCTTTGCTACTAGCTTCAGTGCGGGAGGGAGGAGAACAAGCCCCCAGGGGCCGGCT